CGAAAATCATGCCAGCCCATGGATCTTGCCAGACCAGAGTGCTGAACAAGAGAGGGTCAACCTGTACACTGATTCTTTCTTTTGTACACTGGTATAATAAAGTAGTTGATAAGCAACAACCAGGTCTGAATATTTACAGACATGTTACATATTAAGATGTAGCATAGGCTTTGCTTTGTCTCCCAAATGTTTCCCTTGAAAATATTTAGGCAATTCCATAGCAGATGGGAAGTAATATTTAATAAATGCATATGGCCCAGTAAAACATGGCAGCTCCTCTAGATTTAAAGTGTATGAATGGTGACTCTGGAGAAACAGTTCAGTGTATTTTTTTAAAACAAAAAATAAAATCCATCCAGCCAAGTGTCAGCATTAGGAAAATTGGATCCAGTCCAATGTAATTTAAATAATAAGTAAAAAGTAATATAGCTCAATTTCAGGAACTGCAAATTATTTGTTTTCTGTTCTACAATAGCCCTTAGGCCAAATTCTGCTCTGTTTTACACCATCCAGGCCAGTGTGGTAGCTCGATAAATCAGAGAAGAATTTGCCACGGTAGCCTGAAGCCAGAAGTCCTCACTCAGGCTAACCTCACCTACCAACCATTAGTGTCTTTGCCTGGATAAGTGCTTTGAAATTGGTCCCTATCTCCGTTATTACAAGGAAAACACTTCGCTAGAGCTGAATCCTCCTTGTTTTCACACGATGGAAGTCAGCATACACCAGTGAATAGGGCACTGAGCTGGAAGCCAGGGGACCAAGCTTCTACTCCTAGCTTTCCCAATGACATTGGGGCGGTCATTTCACCTCACTGTTTCTTCACCTATAAAGTAGGGATAATAGTACAGGCACTTCCTGAGTGACAAACATCTGACTTATGAACACCCTCACATACAAGCAAAAGCTCACCTGCAGCCTCAGGAGGCAAGAGGCACAGGTGGTGGGAAGCGTCACAAGTGCTGGCCAGAGGACTCCAGAGGAGCAGGGGGCGGTCACACAGCTAGTGGCTGGAAAGAAGTGGTGCTTTGAGGGAGAAACCACCTCTACTCTATATGCTGCCTGCACGGTCACGTTCTGCTCTTCCGGAGTCTTCCGGCCCATGCTCACGCCACTGGCTGCCTTCTGGTGAGGGGGACTGAGTGCAGCCTGTAGGGGGGCAGGGTGTGGCCAGGGAGGGGATGGATGCTGCCAGAGCTGATGCTCAGCTCTGGGGGGGGAAGGGGGCGAAAGAGGCAGGTGGCTGGGGCTGGACACAGGAGTGGCCATAACCCAGGGGAAGAAGGCAGTAGTCAGGGAATGCCCAAAAGCCCCCTACAGAATCTCCACGTACCTCCTTGTTGCCTTCTAATTAAACCTGCCTTTCCTCAAGCACCAGCTTTCAAGATTAAATAAAAACCTATTTCTACTACTTTTCATTGCAAATATTCAGTATTTTAGCAACATTATGGGTTAAACAGGCTTTTGTGGGCTAGCCTGGCAACCTAACTGCCATTTATAACATTGTTTCTATGGGAAAACAACCAACTTACAAATGAACTTTTGGAACACAACCTGTTCGTAAATTGGGGACTCTCTGTGCTTCCCTTTCTTTGTAAAGTGTTCTGAGCTCTAAGGCAGAAATACTCTCTATAAAAGCTAAATATTCAGTGCAGGCTCTCCTCCGAATGCACAGACTCTTCCCATGTGAGTCTATGAATATCTAGAGTGGATAAATCACGATTCCTCCCCTCTCCAGTCTTGCACCCTTGTTATATGATTACTGTAGCATTATTAAAGTCAAGTCAGAAAGGGCTGCAGGATTGGGCTCTTAATTTTTTAAGCCCCATATAAAATAAAAATGACATACTTTGAAACTCTGGATTCACTACACTGCCTTGCTAATATGCCTCAAAGGGTGAAAAATTAGTTCAGATCCAGCACAGCTCAGCCTTAGCACTCCAATCCTGGGCTGCCAACAAAGTTAGCTATTTGGGTGGTATTTTTGTGCATGTGAATCAAGAATGAAAGTATCTAGTAAAGTCTGACTTTGAACTCTGATTATATGTATAACCCCAGGGGAGACTGCTGGTGAGATGTGAATGAATGAGTTTATGCAGGATTAGGCACATGACATATGGTATTGCTAGTCTAAGGTACAACTCTGTCAGAGTGAACACTACAACATACCAATAAAAAAAATAATCTAACAACATGTTACTAGAGATTAGTATCCTGTGCCAAAGGCACAGAGGCATTTCTGCTGGTTTAATGAAGGTTTAGATGGTTACTTTCCAGAGTTCTTTCTTACTATAGCAAACCCTGGAAATGGCTCCTGCTTAGTTTTGTGGCCATCAATAATATAATCTGGAGAGAAAGGACAGTCAACTCAGTGTGTAAAGAAAAATATCTGCAATAACTGCAAGCTAGAAAAACTCATACGTGAAAAAACAGGATCAGTTTTCCTGCTTTCATTGAATTTTTTCAGATGTATAAAATATGAAATATCAAAACTAAATCAATTTGAATCTCTCTATTTTCTGGATATACAGCAGCTGGTGCCCAGCTAGAGAAAGAGAGCTTGCTCCATGTGTTACATACTATGATGTTCATGCTGTCTCACAGACATAAGGTTAATGAGCTTCCCCATCAAACCTCCCATCAACCTGGATTCTGATGTACACATTATGGCTCTAAAAGCTTAATCTTTGCAGACATCCGTGGGGTTTAATTTATCCTCAAGTGAATGACATTCTGTCCTTAGATATATATACATAGAACCCATTTAATTCAACTCTGGGTGCTGTAATGTCATGTTTATTTCATTATGTTATTCAGCCACTACATGTTCTGTGTGCTGCACAGAGTTTCAGGAAGAATGTAATCTCTCCTAAACATGACAGAGAAAGCTGAGACTCAAACTGAGTGTAAGCCTACTTCTTTGTGTCAATATTTTAGTTGTTTTCTTTAAATGCCATGTGTTAAGAAGGACTGTAGTTCTATAAGTCTTAACAGGGTGCACATCCAATAGCAAATTTTTGGCATGTGTACTTTTCTGTTACTATGGCTTGTTCTATACAAACATTCGAGGAAATTTAATAAATAAACTGCACAAACTGACAGATCTATGTACAGTTTGTTAACTATAATCTGTTGTGGCAATATAAATAAATCATAGGAGATGTGTGTCCTTGAAGCATAGCTCTACTGCAAAAGGTGGCTTTATAAAAATTACATTGGCATTGCAGAAATCCATATTTATTGTCTCAACAGGTTCCACATCAAGTATACTCAGTTTATAAGTGAACAGATCTTTTTTCTTACTAACAGTTCTACAACTCAACATGAGTCTTGGAGTCAAGCTGGGTTCTTTCCTTTCCACACATTATCACTAGTAATAAAGGTTGTACAGGGCAAATTATCCCTCCCACTTACTTGTGGCATTGTCTTCAGTGGGTTTACACAGGTGTAACCAAGTAAAGCTTAGTGAACAATTCTCTTGCTGATACAAAACAGCAATGGAATCCAGCTTCCGGGGTAGCAGGAGTAACAAGTGGTAGAATTCTGAATACTCAGGAGCTCTTATCCCTCGTGTAAGTAGCATCAATTTTCCACAGTCATTTTTCAGAGGAGAACCACACTCTAAAACAGGGGTCTCCAAATTTCTAAGCATGAGCTCACTTTTTTAATTTAAGAGCAATCCAAGATCTGCCTCACACTCAAATACCCTTGCCCCGCCTCCTTTGTGCCCCTTCTCTGAGGCCCCATTCCTGCCCTTTCATCAGGCTGGGGCAGAGGGTGGGGGTGCTGGCTCTGGTCTTAGAGTAAGGGATTTGGAGTGTGAGAGGGACTCTGAGCTGAGCCTGGGGCAGGCAGTTGGGGTACCAGAACGGGTTCTAGGTGCAGGTTCTGGGAGGGCATTTGGATACAGGGTACTCAGGGCTAGGGCAGGGACTTGGGGTACAGGAGGGGGTTCATACCTGGGGTAAGATTTTGGGATGTGGGCTCCAGCTGGGCACTGATTACCTCAGGTGGCTCCTGGGTGGTGGTGCAGTGGGGCTAAGGCAGACTCACCCCTGTCCTGGCCCTGCACCACTCCCAAAAGCAGCCAGGAAACTCCATCCCAAGTCCTGTTGTGTCTCTGCTGTTGCGATAGGATGCAGAATGGGAGACAGGACACCTTGACATGAGGACCCCTTTTCTCCCTCCCCTGCCCAGAAAGCAGGAGGCTCCTGAGGGGACAGCTCCAAGGCAAAGGGCAGGAGATGCACAGCAGTGGGGGGATGGGCAGCTGACGTGCCAGTCCTCAATAGCCTCTTGGCCAAACCAGTCAGGATCACCTGTCAGGGGATTCAAGATCTATTGGTAGATCCTGATCTACTGGTTGGTGACCACTGCTCTAAAACATTAACTTACAATTATTCTTTGCAATTATATAGCAACTTCCATCTGAGTCTCTCCAAAATGCTTTACAGATATCAGTGAACTTAGCCTAAAAAGACTCCTATGTTTTACTACAAGTATTCTTAACCCTGTTTTGAAGATGAGACAACTAAGAGTCAGTCACTTGCTCTTCTGCATAATTGTCTATTTTTGTAAGTGAAGGCACACATTTTTCAGGTGCAGACTAAGCACCAATGTTTGAAAACATGATCATGACACGTTCATAGCAGGATTGTCAAATATCAGGTATGTTGCCTCAGAACCAGGGAAGAGCAGAGATGTCTGAGTGACAGTTCACAAGAAAGGAAATGTCACTTCTGAATGTGAATATATAAAAGGTCAGTGGAGACTCCATATATTCATTGGCACTTCACTGATGCCATTTTCATGAAGTACAATGCAAGCCTCCCACTCCGCTCCCATCTTAAATACACAAAGCACATTTCTGACAGGTCTGTTGCACATGAATCTTTCAAATATTAGCTAGAGTGCCATCACTAAGCAAAGTACTAACACGCTGATTAGATTTATATGTTATAATCTCCTGTGCTTGCTTATAAAATATTTATTGTGCATTGCAGTGAAATACCTCTAATTGGCAAGTAGGCAAACAGAGACCAAGACTATACATACTGGCTGGATATCTAGTTTTCACCTATCACAAAGAAGATCAGAACAAAGTAGGTAAAAAAATTCGGTAAAAAGTTAGGAATATTATAAAGATCTATGATAACAGAGTAGTTGTATCTGTTCATTGCTTGTGACAATGTGTGTGTAAGAGATAATGACATATCTTTCTGGTACATTATGCACCTCCCCAGCTGATTTGATTATTTTTCTTTTTAATTTATTGCTCTTTAAAAACAATGAGTAGCCTGTGGCACCTTAGGCAACATCTAGACAGAGGGGCTATTTCGGGATACTGGAAGTATCCCAAAATAGCAATTCCACATCTTTAAATCTGGACCCGTTGTTTCAAAATATATTTTCAAACCTTGTTCCACAACTGTTAAGGGACTTGTTAGAATAGAGCTTTTTTTTTTTTCAAATTTGGCACTGTGTAGACAGCACCAAATTTCAAAATAAGCTATTTTGAAATTACCTCAAAATAAGCTACGCAATGTATGTAGCACAAATTGCAATGCTTATTTCAAGGTAAGTGTGCTGTGTAGACGCACCCTTAGAGACTAACAAAAATATATAGTATCATGAGTGCTTGTCGGATGAAGTGGGTTTTACTCACAAAAGCTCATGATACAACATATTTTTGTCAGTCTCTCAGGTGCCACAGGACTACTCATTTTTAAAGTTACAGACTAACATAGATACCCCCCTGAGACTTTCTACTGCTCTTGTATTTAAAATATCCTGCCCTAGGTTTCTTCTCTGTACACTGTCCCCCACCCCCAGCACAGTGCCATTGATCTCAAAGGCATCCACATGCTCAGACAGTTCTCAGAACTGACTGCTCTACTTCTGATGTGGCAAAGAATGAACTCAAAGCCATTGAAATATGCCTATGTTTCCTTTACTCTTCTAGCTGGTACATAACAGGGATCTGCTTACTCCATGGCCACTTGCAATTTAAAGAAGTGGAGTTTATGTAAATGAACATCATCTTTCTCTCTTCCTCCCATTCCTTGCTGGGCCGTGGAGATTATTATAGACCCAGTGGGCAGAGAGTGGGATGGAAATGAGGGTCCATTCACCTCTGATCTGGAGCAGTGGCAATTTTATGACAAGTTATTAGTTATACAAACTAAGATAAGAATAATCAAATCCCATTCTTCCCAGTTGTAAGCTGATCTCTGGTCTCTCAAGTCGTGGAGGAAAACAGATCACCTGTTCAGGTTTTTGTTTGTGTGTTTTTAAATTGAAGCAGCACTGTGTATGTTTTCTAAGACAGTAAGAACACACCAAGGATTAATCTGGCTTGTCTAATTGATGTTTTCATTTCTCATTACAGACTGAATACATTAAGAAATTACTCACTCATTCCTCATGGTTTTTACTTGAAACCCATTTTCACTGTACTAAAAAACGCTTTTCACTTTTCTACATGCTCCTTATGAAGAAGGCTGCACTGACTGTTTGTTTAACCATGTTTCCAGCTCAGTTTGTCACTAGTTTTATGATTCAGAAAACATCTGAAATAAAGGTTAACTTTTCACAACAGACTGCTGAAATTCCCAGCTAATTTTGCTTATGATATGTTTTTAAGACACAGCTTTGAAAAGGTGAAAAATTAAGCAACAGAATAATAATCATCACCACCACCACCATAATGGGTCAAATCCAGCCTTGATGTAATCAGGTGCAGCTCCATGACTTTAGCGGATATATCACAGGTACATTTGACCCACCGTCACAAACCATTTCTTAAAATATTCTGCACTTTTTTTTCCTTCCAAAAGTATAAGTTCTGAAGAGTTTAATTTACATACTGGGTTATTTAACCATTATGGAAAAAAACAACTCCCAGACATCCTCAGCATTCCTTTCTTTTTCCCATTTGCTTAAATATCACTGTCTTGTGACTGGCACATGACACAGGTAATGCAAAGTATATTGTGCTGAAATCCTTAAGAGTAAAATGCCACCCCTCCAAAATTGCAGAAGCTCACCTGAAATATATTTGCAGCTATGATCTGCATCTCCGTTTTAGCATGCTATTGGTTTGCCTTATTTGCCTCAATTATACAAAAAGAAGACAAGATACCATGAATTTGTATTACTTTATGTTGTTAAAAGACAAATAGTAACCTTAGATGTAATTTTTATAGATAAGTCATCTGGCTCGTTTAGTTATTTATTGTTTTGAATTATTTTTAAAGCCCCATCCACTATTTTGGATAAGTCCACTACCCAAGAAGCCTAGCCCTGGCTCTTACTGGGGGTAGCTCCCCAACCCAGCATGAGCCAGGATTGAGCATCTTCCCTTATTGACTTATCGTGTGGTCAATAAAAATTTTATCAACTGCATAATTAGTGAAATACCCACTTCTTAACATCCCTAACACACACACACTCAAACTCAATGCCAGTAATTCAACAGATAGCTCACATAACTTCACACAGTCTGTTTGTTTTTGTCTAGCATCATGGGAATAATCAGTATGTCCCAACACAGCCCAAGAACCTTTGATCAACCCTATCCCCCAAATACCAGTATAAAGATATCATCTTTACAGAGGATAGTCTAGTGATTAAACTGGCCCCTATGCAGGAATTTCTGTGGGGAGGAGGGCATTTTTTTGTGAATGTGGACCATAAGTTTTTAAAATATAAAGGAGTTCCAAATAGTCATGTAATAAGAGTGCATAAGAAAGAATAATGAAAAATTTGAGTGGAAACAGTGATTGGTAAAATGAGTTTGATATAACATGCTAGAAATGTACACAGTAATAAAGATTTTGTAGAAATTACCTCTTGGGATCATGGCGGGCATTGCAGCCACCATGGCCCGCCTGCCTGCTGCTGCTCTACCTGCTTGCCAGAGCCAGGTGAGTGCCAGGCCCAGACCCCCTCATAGGTAGGGGGCACTGTTCCCCCAGCGGCGCTGTGCTGCCGCCGGCCCATCCCCCCGCAACAGTGCTCTTCCATCCCTCTAACACAGTGGTTCTCAAACTTTCTACAGGGATCACCTCCAAGGGCTACTTTTCCTTTTCATTCAATCTTTGTCCTAGCAACAAGGGTGACTGTGATAATCATACTGTTACGTGGAAACTTAGCCGAGAGGAGCCAAACAAAGCATAAGTTCCTTTCACATAAACTGCTGACCAGTCATCAGATGGACACTTTTACTCACTACAAACCTGTGTTAGATACTGTGTGAACCAGCAGCCATATTGTGATGTGTACAATAGCCTATTAACAGCCCCTTCAGCCATCCAGCCCTTTTATCACTGATAATGGCATAGTGGATACTAAATTTAATGTAAAGATGTGTTCCCAGAGGCTTTGATCTCATCACGATCTCTCATAAACTGAGTAGCATCAGACCCAATCGGTTCTTGGATACTAGACCTCAACCAGTGTGCTGTGTGGATAATTGATTAAACTCTTCTCCATAATCAGTAGTGACCCAGAGAAGAGGAGAGCCCTGTGCACTATGTCCAGATGTATTTCAACTGGGAACTTACATTCAGGCTACCCACATTTAAATTGCATAAGGTATCCTTTACCCTCTGTCCTGAAATGTTGCTGTGCACTCTTTACACAAAATTACTAATTGCAAATAAATTATCAGATTAATATACCTCTTTTAGTGTCCCTCAATTGACAAACTGATCCTATTTTCTGAAAAGGGATCTAGTATTCCTAAAGAGTTGTCAATTAGTTCATTTCAGTATATGAGCTATACACAAACCAGTCACTTCCCCAGTTCATGATGTAAAATCAGTCATTTCGGTCACATTCTAGTGTTTCTGCTCCCTGATGAGATATTTGAAATTTTTTATGCTCAGAGAAAAAAAAAAGGTGTTGGTTCAAACAGCGACTCCCCAAATACAGTTGTTAACATATCCATGCAGATATTTGCAAATACAATTGTGGCTGAGTCAACCATTCTAAATTCAAATCAGAGTTCACAATCATATTTTTTATAGTATTCAACCCTGTACAAAAAGTGTGTTGAATGAGTTTAGTTTTTGTATGAAAGGTGAAAAATAAACATTACGTCTAAATTAGTAATGCTATTCATGACGAAAATCACTATTCTAAATACTAGCTCAGTGGTCCCTAATGCGGTGTCCACGGGCACTATGGCACCCACCGGGCCATTTCTGTGTGCCCGCCAAGTGAACGGGACTAGCCCTGCCCCTGGGCGTGCGGCGCATGGGCAGTGCCGGCCCCGAGCACACGGCATTTGGGCGGCCTCACGCCCGGGTGTGCGCACAAGGGCTGTGCCAGCCCCAGGCACACAGCATATGAGCGGTACCGGCCTCTGGGCGCGCGGCACAGGGGTGGCACCGGCCCCGGGAGCGCAGCACAGGAGCGGCGCCAGCCCCGGGCATGCAGCACATGGGTAGTGGGCAGTCCCACACCTGGGCATGCAGCACAGGAGTGGCACCGGTGCCGGCCCCAGGAATGCGGTGCATGGGTGGCATCAGCACCAGGCACGCAGCGTATGGGTGGCCCCGTCCCCAGGCACGTGCATGGCCCTGCCACCGAGTGCGTGTGTGGCCCCGCCCCCGGGTGCCCGGCACGTGAGCAGCCCTGCCCCCGGGCGCCCAGCAGCCCCAAAAGGTTGGGGATCACTGTGCTAGCTGATAAGCTGGATGACATATTTATACAGGGGAGTAAGAACGCACAACCTTAGACTTACTGTGTAGACCTTGGTTCTGGTTATGTATGATGGTGTTGAGATACACACCCACTTATTCTGGCCCCAGAGCAGCTAAGCATGATGTGGGCAGGAATGGGTGGGTAATGGATAAAGTCTTGACTACCCCACCAGCACTTATTGGTCTGTGCAGATGAATCACTGTGAGGTGGAGGGTAGTGGTTTATTGCTAACACTAAGTTAGGACCCTATCGTGAGGTTGACTCACCACTCCTGTTGGTAGCCCCAAGGAACTGGTTCTTTCATTAGTAGGCTGTTTCCTTCTGGTTGGTGTCTTTCCCATCCTCACTCCACACTCCTACTCCGGACCCACATCGCTCCCCAACCACGGTGTCCTCCTCGGGACACTGCCCTCTGGCAGTGCCCACTACTGTGGTCTCTTGTCCCCCTTTGGGAGATTTATTGGCAGTCCTGTGCCTCTACTGCCACTGTAGCCAATTGTGGCCTCCAAGCCTAGCCCTGCTGTCTCAGGGACAAGCCACAGTCTGTATGGGCCACACCCTCCTCCCAGGAAGGTATCAGCAGTTCAGTTTCATCAGCCACTGTGGCACCAAAGTCTAGCCCCTTACCACAGGGACAATCTATAGTCTGTTTTAGCCATGCCTTGGTGGCAAAGTGAGGTGAAAGGGCAGAGGGGTCAGGCCCACCCACTACTCTGGGTCCCAACTCAAGGACCCTCTGGCAGCAGCCTTGTCCTGCCCTCCCCTCTACTCCCCTTTATTACCTCTAGTTCCTTGGGCCTCTTCCCTTGTGACATTTTCCACCCTCCTGGCTCTTGTAGCAAGGCCAGTAGCTTGGCAGGTATCAGGCTGGAGCCTTCCTCTCTAGCCCCCCTGTGCCTGCCCAGCACTGCTCTTCTGAAGGTGCTTCTCTGGAAACCAGGTCCTGCACCTACCTTGATCTGAGCCTAACTGTTCACTCTCTTCTGAGCAGCTCCATATATACCGGATTGCCTCAGCAACCCACCCTCTGGCTGACTCTTTAAAAGCCTCTCCCTGATTTGCCAGATCTCTGTGAAGGCTCCCTTCAGCCTGCTTTAACCCCTTTCAGCCAGTGTAGGGCAGCTGCTGCACCACAGACCTCCAGAAGCAAAGAGGTAGTAGGGGAGAATTCTAACTCACTAGACCACAGTTTTCTCTCTGGGAGGCTTCTTAGAGTGTGATATCTACCTGCTACCACTTACTATGGGTGGAGGGTAGTGGTTTATTGCTATTGGGATCAGTCCTTGTGTTCATTCAAGCCCTAAAGCATTACCACATTTTTCAACTAAAGGAATTAGTTATATTAGTAGGGGGGCGGGGGGAGGGAGATTCTCTCTGAAGTCATTGCTGACATCTGACAAGCTTCTGCTTAAATATCAACTCAAATGGTTCCCTCTAGAATTACACATTTCTGTAAGAAATAAAAACACTTACCCACTGCAGCAGAGCCATGAGTGGCTTTCAAATCCCATACATGCTAGAAAAGGAAATAGACTAATTTCCACTGCACACTGCATAGTGGAAATTTGAAGCCTAATTCTCTGCCCATCTTTACTGATTAAACAGACAATACTAAAAAGATGTGCAAAGCAATCTTCTTTGGATGCAAAAATCAGCAAATCTGCAGTGTACACAAATCTTTGCAGATGAACACATCATATCTCTGGATTAGGAATAAATATTCAATCATCAGAATCCAGCGCTGCCAGTACATTACAGAACGTGTTTAATGTCAATTCAAATTTGATGTGAATCTCAAATTTTAGAATATTTTAAGTAACACGTTCATTTGGCATTCTGAACTAGTTCCTCCCTGCTGTGACTCCACAGAACTCAATG